TAAATTGTTTTAAATAATTCAAAATATTTCAAAATAAATGTTACAGATTATACTTTAACTTGCAAGTTCATCTGCTTGATTCTTTTTAGTAGAGTAATATGTCACTCAATTTACTTTTCTTTAGAAAGAGCGGTTCATTGCTCAATTTCTTCAAATTTTATATACTTTGCTAAATCTGTTAGTAGTCTAAAATTAATTCTATTTCTAAATTTCTCTCGATTGCTTCAAAATTCATACACTTCGCTATTTTGTCAGCAGTTCATTATGTATGAATTATCTCTGTTTCTCAATTCTTTTAACTCAAACTTTATACATCTCGCTAAATCTGTTAGCGGTCTATTATATATAAAGTCAATAGTAATCTGGCAGGAATTACCACTTGTTAACGTTACTCTTTCCATCGAATAAGTTAACTATTTTTTGAAGTCAGGGAGACAATAGCTATGACTTAAATCCAATCAACTTGACACACTGTTTATTAGAGAGTTGATTTAGTTAACAAGAATAAAATTATAAGTTTTATATTTGCAAAATGTTAAGATGGTTTATTATTGTTATTAGATATATATTGAATACAATATTAGGGTCTTAGAATCTGTTCTTTTTCCAAGACATTTTCATGCCCTTTATAATGAAAAATTATAATTAAAGAAAATCTATAGTATTTATGATATTATTGACAATAATAACAGAGTTAACAGATATGCTAATTATATTAACTATAATATAAATGATAATAATAATAGATATAATAAATGATATTCATATCCTATTTGGCAGATTTAGCAGATCTAGCATATTTGACATATATATCATATTCGACAGGTCTGTCAGTTTCTGCCAGTTTCAACGTACTATTAGATATACTACAATATGGTGTGCTTTACATCGACATGAATTTACATATAAACAAGTATTTAAATCTAATTTTTTTTAAATACTATATGTAAATCTAATCATAAAAAAATAATAAAATATTTTATTTATTTGAAGCTATCTAAACCAGCAAAAGAGAGAAATAAGATTGATTGAGCAGATTATATTTTATGAATTTCTCAATATTCTTCAAGACAATTGATATTTTATGATAAATCTGCATATAACAAAAGGTCATTATCAAGAAGATATGTATAGGATTTAACAAGAACTCAGACAAAAAACCTTTTTTTTTATTAGAGGATGGAGATTTACAATCGAAGGCGCTTTATATATAGATAGATTATTAGCTTATGGAATTTAAGAGGGTCTGATAAGTGCAAAAGATTTTGAATTTTTTGTAAAATATATATTGGTACAGTATGTTTTTATATTTATTATTTGTGTAATAACTAATAAATTAAACTTAATATTATTTATTATTATAGTTACTAAAAATGAACTGATTCCCTGAACTATATAACATGTTAATTTTAGATAATGCATTAATTTATAAAAGGCAATATTTAAGATCTTTATGTGAAGAGAAGGGTATAATATTAGAATTTTTACCAGCATATTTATCTGATTATAATCCTGTAAGTATATCTTATTATAAGTTTAATGTTTTTTTTATCATAGTAATATAATTTATTTTTTAGATCAAACAATTATTTTATCATATTAAAAGTTTTTTAAGGCAAAATCGTAGCTGGGTTGAAACTTTAGAAGATCTTACAGAAGCATTAAATTTAAGTTGCACATCTATTAGAAAAGAATTAGCTAATGCATATTTTCAACATGTCGGATATATTTAAATTTGTAAATGTTATAATTAAATAAATATATTTTACAAAATTAACAAAAATATCACTTTATTATTATTTGTAATTATTATTACGGTCATTATTATTGCTAATTATTATTATGAATTGCTACTATTATACTATTATAATCATTATTAAAAGATTTCATTGAAATCTACTGAAATAAATTTCATATTAACCCAAATATTTACATGCTCTTCAAAAAAATTGTATCAATTACTTGATTTAGAAGATATTCTTTCACATTATTATTAAATAACAATTTTATAATAAACCTCTTATTTTTAGCAGATCCTGATGGAAATACAAAAGCTATAAGTTCATCAAAAGTCATTCTTTTTATTATATTAATATTAAATTTATATGGAATTTTTTTTCTTGTATTAACTGTAATACTTTTTAATAATACGCTTGTTGATGTACTTTTAACAGAATCTTTAAATGCAAAGTATACAATATTAAAATAAATATATAATATAATGCAAAATTTATAATATTTATAAAAGATACCAAGTAGTACTTTGAGTTCTTTATGCAATAATAATGTATCTTTAGGTGTATTAGGAATTAGTTTATACTTTAGTTTATCAAATATTGAAATTGCCAGAGAATTTAATTCTATAACATCTTTCATTCTGGTAGACTAATAAATAAGGAAATAAATAATTAATAGAATAAATAAATAAATAAATAAAACATATTTTGTATTTTAATTTACCAAAGCTCTTGTCTATAATGTTATTATATCATTATTTAATGTAATATGACAGCCATCATCAGATATTAAACACCTTTGAGTATGATATTCGCATTTCTTTAGAGAATTAATTATTTTTTATTTAGCAGAATTAAGGTTATCTATAATTTCAGAATTCGTTTCAGTCTAAAAGATATACAGTAATAATAATATTAGTTAAAAAGAATCATTTAAAATTATAATAATACAAAAAAAATTCTTATGTAAAATCTTTTTTGAAAATTAATTTTTGAGAAATCATCTGAATTTTTAATAGTACTTTCATAAATTATTTTTTTGCGCTTTAGTTGTTTCTTTTGATAAACACATAATTGAATTTTTTTATTTTCTTTTGCTATAGTTTTAAATGCAATAATTGCTCTATTAGATCTGAGATCATAATGATCTGCTTTTGTCTATAAAGAAATTTGATAACAAATTAATCCTATTTCTATTTTTTCTTAAGACTTTAGTAAATTACGTGATAATATTTCTTCTTCAATATGACTATAATTTGAAATATTTTCAAGAATAAATGGAATAGAAATAGCTTCTTTCAATTTTTTTCGTGATAACTAAAATTGATTAAAGCATACCAACATAATATATATTTTAAAATAAACTGAATTAGTTAAATATTTTTAAAAATTATGATGTAAGAATATTTTAAATGTATTTACTTAGTTTTAAAGGCTTTAGAATATCAGATGCTATATTAGCTAATGATGAATCATATAAAGGTAACTTTGAAGTTATCTCAATTTCAGTATCAATAGGATCTGAAAATTTCGAAATATCTATATTTTTATTTTTAGCTTTGAATACATATAATTAATAAATTAATTTTAATATTAATAATAAATAAAATAAAACTTTATTAAAACTTTATGTAATATAAACCTTTAAACTGATCAAATTTGCTTAAATATTTACGACAAATATTAATATCATTTTGATTTTCTGGCATTTTTATTTGAGGAGAAACTTTTTCAAAAAACCATGAAACAAATCTTTGATCCAGTTTCAATTAGTTATTTGTAAAAGAATTTGTAAGTAATTTATGCCAAAAAAATCTACAGGGTATTTTTTATTCTTATCCTAAAAAATTTCTTTAGATTCACAGAAATAAGAAGATCCATAGAATTTTGCACATTCAATACATATTAAGCATATAGGACATAAGTTTGGATGATAAATTAATTCTACTTTAGATTCCATATTTGATGAAAGAGTTGTACGCGTGTTCATATTTATGAAAGAATTATATAGATAATGATAATCATTATAAAAAATTGAGAAATTTTACTATGTCACATATGTCACATGTGTTATATGTCACATGTTAAATTTACTAGATGTAGTAATCTAATCCGTGAATACATTATTCAAATATCTGTACAGATATATAGATATTCAGATAAGTAATTTAAATGATAGATATAAAACTGCAGATATGCAGATATCTGCAGATATCTACAGATATCCGCAGATATTTTTTATAACAATATAAAAATAAATAATGTAATAAAACAATTGTATAATATATAAATTGTGAAAAAAAAGAAACTTACTGCTTTCTCTTATTATTATTATAATATAGAGGAAATTTTAATTTTTTATGATTGGCTTTTCTGTTAAAGCTTCATTGCTTTTGTAACATTTGCTCAATAATTAATACAAATGAATAAATTTTATATTTTTTTATCAATATTTTAGCATGTATAAATACAAGATTTTATTTTTACTTAGGTTTCTTAAACCTTTTCTTTTAGTTATCATTTTTGATTGAAAGTTTTATTTAACGTTAAATATTACCTTTTGTGCTGAATTTCCTAAATTAAAATAATATTTCAAAGTTTTTTTGAAACTTTTTCTTTCTATTGTTAGTTAAAGTTTTATTTAACTAACGTTAAATATTTTTTATATGCTCGAATTCCCAAACTAAAATATTTCCTTAGATTTTTAAACCTTTTCTTTCCATTATTGATCAAGAGTTTCATTTAATATTTGATATTATTTTTTATATCAGAATTTTATATTAAAATAATATTAAGTTTAATTTATTAGTTATTACACAAATAATAAATATAAAAACATACTGTACCAATATATATTCTACTAGGAAACAGGAACTATTGTGAGTCTGAAGTGAAATTTTATTCATTAATTTACATAATGTGTAACTTCAAATTTTTCTCTTTATCTCTTAAAAGTATAATATTTTTCACTTTACTTCAGATAATAAAGAATTACGTGATATGATTTATCTAATTATAAAGTATTTTATATCTATTATGTGATATGATCAACAATCTCACAGTAGAGCATTATTGGCAAATTTTCTGTATCTGAGTTTTAAAACTTTCTAAAATTAAAATAACTTAAAAATATCTCATCATCATTTAATATGTCAATTTATCACATGCGCAAAAACGGACTAATAAAATTATCCTGTTTAATGATCACGTGATGAAATATCGATCCTCTTTCTTGTTATTATGGTAAACTATTATGTAGTCTGAAGGGATTTTTATGTGTGATTAAAATAGGGTTGCAACTAATCAAATATCAGTATATTTTTACGTTAGACGGAGATTAAGTTCATTATGTAAAATTTATTAAATAAAGTCCTACGCCTACGCTCTAGACTAATTAAACATATCAGTGTTAAAGAAAAAGATATATATATATACTCAAAGCTAGTATTTTAGGCAAAACTAGTTTCGCTAAATTGATTTGCTAAAAGATTTCAAAATTAGAGTTTAGGAGGTTTCAGATAGGTTTCAGATTATAGGAAAAATCACTGGGCGAAACGTTTCAGATTTTGAATAGTTTCGCCCAAAACACTACTCAAAGCCTTAAACAAACAAATGAACAATTAGATAGTAATCTGAACAATAATTAAAGCATATGATTTATTTGGAGTCCATTAATACAATATGTTAATATTCAAATGTTAATTGTTATTGTATTATTGTTAGATTTTATATTGAAATATATATAATATTATTTTGTATAAAGTATTTTTTTTATTGTTTTTTTCATTTATATAAATGAATGATGCCCGCAATATAATTTTTTTTTAATAAAGATTTAATTCGATCAATATTTTAAGCTTTTAATTCTATAAAAAAAAAATATTTTTTAATAAAAATAAGATCATTTAATATTTGTACATTTAAAATGAGTACTAACCCTAAGATACCCTAAAAGAGAAATAAGCAAAATAATGAGACAGAAGAACAGCGAGAAGCTTGTTTGAAATATGATTAAGAATAAAATGCAAAAAAAAGCTGAAAAATCAGTGGAAGAACGTAAAACACGACTTACAAGAAATCAGGATATTAGAAATCAAAAAAGATCAACTGAAACTACTGATGAATGATTAAAACGTTTAACCACCAATAAGTTGAAACAAGATGTACACCTTCGTAACATTCAAAAAAGCTAAGAAAGAAGTTAAGAAATAAACACCAGATCTGACGCCAAATGTGCAAGGAATAACAGTGAGAATGTATATGAAATGTTGCAAAGATTTTGCTATAAAGTAGATAATATTCAATATAAATACTATTCGGTATATAATGAATGAATTCCACTGATGTTAATTGCTTATGATATGTGCTGTAAATGTTATATAGAAAATAAAGTCCCTAAGAAGTTTTCTGCAGAAAATAATATGGATCCTGGTGACATATCAGATGAGCTTAAAGGATTAACAGAAATCGAAGAAATGCTCATCGCACAAGTATTCACTGTTATGACAATATATCAACTTCAGGTGAATAAAATGGATATAGAAGAAATGTCATTAACTTTTCTCAAGACATTCAAGAATTCACAAATCGGCTTCTACAGCATCCATCATCTTTAGATGTGCTCATAATACGTCGTTAATCAGAAATCAATTCAACATCTTTTAGAAACTTCATTGTACGTCAAAGTAAAGTCAGTAAAGCTTTGATGTGGCTAAAAAAAAATAATCAGTATTATGAAAACATAATCATTGATCAAGAGATACTTAATTCTTTACTTAAAAATGACTTAATTGCAAAAATGCTTTCACAGCTGCAGAACGATTGATTAATAGACGAAATTTCAGTAGATGAAGAAAGTGAATTAAATAAAATAACACATAATTTTATACCTTCACAAACTTCAACATGTAAGGAAGACGTTTCTATCAATGATACACTTGATCATATACAAACTAATGATACGCCTTTGCTCTGGTCAGAGATCGATGGTGTTCCTATCAATGAGTTCCAATCGTCCAGTTATATAGCAAAAGCATTTTTGACGTTCTATCCATATGGGAATACTGATCTTCATTCTGAATAGCCTTAGAACATCAAACCAGCCAAATATTTTAAGCATTTAATGTGATACAAAGACAGAAGATTTGCAAGACATCCTCGATAGTGATATTTTGCATTAAATTCCATAATGAGATGGAGAGCTCTACAAGAAGGAAAATTTATGTTAGACAGAATTTGAATAATGAACAGATCGATGTTACAGATATACAGGAAATGATTGAATAAGATGACCAAAACCTGGCAGATAAAATTATAAGATATGGTGAAGGGTTATGAAGCTCGCGACAATTCTGAATAACATAAAGATATGAATTAACAGACTTTATTAAGCAGATCGGTCATCAAGGATTAATTTTTTTTACCTTTAGCACAGCTGAACTTCACTGGCTGGAACTCCATAAATTAATGTCAGATGAAGAAAACTCAGGAGATTTTGCAAATAAGCGTCAACAGAATCTGATTGATAATCTGCATAGTATTCCAATCTGAGGATCATCTATCATCTGTAATCTGCAATCACGTGATCTGCAAATTATCCTTAATCCAGTAAACGGATATCTGATTCGAACGGATTATCCGTTGCATCCGTTAGATTATTACTATTAAAAATTTTTATTTATTAAAAATACT